GCAAGGTAGTAAAAATCAGGTTTGTGTGGAATCCTTCTTGAATAATAATATGTCCAATGCACATCTTACAAAGAATTTTCCAGATATTGATAAAATAGCTGCATCTCCTGAAAACAACATGAATTTTAATGTGAATGAGCAAGGGAAAAAAAATTAAACAAACAGTGGAAACGTTTGTCTAAGAAGAATACTTATTTTGATGGAAGCCAAGGAGAAAATCAAATGGGCATAAATGATAGCGATAACGAATGTGAATGTTGGTGTATTTTTCTTTATCTAAATACTAATAGAGTTACTAGAAGAAGACTATTTGATGAACTCGTAACTAAATCTACTATATGGGGTTCCTCTTGAATTATTGCTGGTGATTTTAATGATATAATTGACAAGTCAGAAAAAATTGGAGGACGGGCTAGAGAATCTTGGTGCTTTAATGATTTTAAAAATTTTATTTGGAAACTAAATGGAATTGATTTAGGTTATAAAAGAAAGTCATGGACTTGGTGGTGTTATAGGGAAAATGAGGGTGTGATTCAAGAACGACTTGATACAGATTTAGGATCTCTTAATTGGAGAGCTAAATTTGATATGCAAATGTTATTCAGATCACGTAGCTCTTATTATTTCTACCGAAGCTACTCTTGTAAGAAAAGAGAAAAGATTTTATTTTGATAAAAGATGGTGTGACAAGGAGGATATTACTAGCAAGATTCAGAGAGCTTGAAATATTAATAATGCTAATGGCTTTGAACAATCTAAGTTTTATTTTAAATTAAAAAATTGTAAATGAAGTTATGGGAGGTAATGAAAATTAATTCTTGGAAAAAAATCTTAGGTATAAAAAAGATGATTGAGGAAGTTAGGAAAAATCTGAGTGGGCTTGATATAAATAAACTAAAAATGCTAAGAAAAGATTTAGGCCAAGCATATAAGGATAAAGAGATTTATTGAAAATAGAAATCTCGAGCTTTATGGTTGAAAGCGGGAGATAAGAATACATCTTTTTTTCATATGTCTAATATCCAGAGAAGGAGAAATACCATTAAGGGTTTTCAAATTGATGATGGTCGCTAAATTTCAGATCAATTAGGTATTGTGAAAATAGTAATTTTTTTTTATAATAACCTGTTTAAGAGCCCGTTTGGATTAGCTGATTTAAAGTAGCTGATACGCATTAAGTGTTGAAAAATACTTTTGCTGAAACCGTTTTAATCAATAAACAATTACGTGTTTGGATGCAAGTCCTGAAATTGATAATAAGTTGCTGCAATGTTTAGTAAAAAAATATTGATAAGCTTTTTTCTGTTAAGATAACTTAAATAACCTTAGAACTGTTTACACGTATAAGGGTGTAATTTCTTCAAAATCTTAGATTCTAGATCGATTCAAATACAAAATATTATATTTTTCATTTTATTTTAAATACAAATGTGATTGGATAAGATAATTTTGTGATAAATATAATTTATTTTATGGTAAGCATATAATCATAAGCTATATAATAATAATAATAATAATAATAATAATAATAATAATAATAATAATAATAATAATTTATCTCTTGTCTTCATCAATATACCAAAAATTTGATATGTCCTCGTTTATTACTTACAATTCAAAGATTAGTACATAATTACATAGATACAAAATATGTAAATGAACAGAGAATTTGATTACCTCAAATATTGTCAACGAGAATTGCAGACTTAAAGAGGCGGAGGGTTTAAGTTTGAAGAAATATGAGGCGGTGAATATCGATATAGGAGTTTTGTTTTAAAAAGGAATAATTTAGGGATGAAATAGTAAAAATCTTGGTCAAACTTAAAATACTTATAAGCTAAAAATTCATAAGTTGGAGTGACCAGCTTATGACTTTTGGCTTATTTTTGACTTATAAACACCTCACTTATAAGTACTTTTAACTTTACCAAACACGCGGGTATATAAGCCGAAAAGTGCAAATCAGCTTATAAGCTTAGCCAAACACCCTCTAAATCTACTAGACCATCAGATCTTGAGCATATTATTCCTTATGTGTCAATTTTTATTAATGAGTCAATGAATAGGAGACTAATAAGAGATGTATCAGATGCTGAAATTAAGAAGGCTACTTCTTCAATGCATCCCTTAAAAGCTCCAGGTATTGATGGAATGACTCCACTTTTTTCCAGAAATATTGGCATATTATTGGTAAGGATGTTTGTCTTCAGCAGTTAGCTTTCATTTAGGATATTTAATTCCAGAATGGAGCCAAACTTTAATTACTTTGATTCCTAAAGTTAAAAGTCCTATCTCTGTAGCTCAATTTAGACCTATAAGTTTGTGTTCAACTGCTTATAAAATTATTGCTAAAGTGTTAGAGGCTAGAATGAAAGAATTTCTTTGTATGATTATCTCCCCAAATCAAGTAGCTTTTGTGGGAAATAGACAAATTACTGATAATGTAGTGCTTGCTCATGAGTTTATGCATTTGCTTAAAAATAAAAGAAGAGAAATAGAAAAATTTATGGCTATGAAATTTGATATATCCAAAGCATAGGATTTTTGCTAAGGAAATGCTTTTAAAAATGGGATATGATAAAATATTTGTGGGATGGATAATGGAGTGTATTATTTCAACAAGTTATAGATTTAATATTAATTGCGAAGTAACTGATTGGATTAAGCCAACAAGGGAATTAAGATAGGGTGACCCATTATCACCATATTTATTTTTGATTTGTGCTGAAGATTTATCTACTCTCTTAAAAACGGCAGAAGATAGGGTTCAAATACGACCCATTATCACCATATTTATAAAAGTACTGTTAATGATAACTTTTACCTTAAAGTGACAGCTTATAAATTTAGAATCCGGGACTTCGAAATTGGGAGAATTAAATAGACTTTTTTGTGAAGATGATATAAATGCTATTTTAACAATTCCTTTACCTACCACTATTTCTAGAGATAAATTTATATGACACTATACCAAATCCGGTAACTATGAAGTTAGATCTGGTTATTATACTGCAAAATATATAAGCAAACTAAGTGAGAATAACAGGAATATTGCTCAATCTAGTTGTCATTCTTTCCCTAAAGCTTTTTGAAATTATTTATGGGCTATGAATATTAAAAATAAGCATAAACATTTTCTTAGAAGATGTGTGCTTAACACTTTACCTGTGAGTATTATTCTTAGAAAGAGAATGAATCAAGTTAATGGTGTATGTAAAAGATACGTTGAAGAAAAGTGTGAAGGTTTCTTAGGACGTTGAAGTGGCTTGTGAAGATATTTGGAACATGAATTCAAACCTTGAACATGTTTCTTTTGTATATATTCCTAAGACGTTTAATTCTGTTGCTCGCAGCTTAGCACAGCTCTTAGTGTTTTTAGTACATAGTATTTCTTGGGAAAGTATATTTCCAAGTTGGATTGTAAATGAGGTCACGCTCCTTTGGACATATCTCGTCCTTTATGACATAATAGATGAATGTTGTCGATGAGAAAAAAAATAGATATCTCTCTGTTATGTCAGCTACTTCCTCGAATTTTAACTAGTCCTATACTTTTACATGTGATTCTTATATGAATTTAATTTGTATATATCAGATACCATTAGATTTATACACTATCAAGTGTAATGTAACTTGTAAAGTAGTTGGTTGTCCGCTTCATTTTTTATGTCATAAATTTCATATACTAATGGAGCAGGATGTTCAGTGAGGTTTTATGTGGTCAACCCAAACTAGTTTGGCATTGAGATAATATTATTGTACGGACAATTGTCTATATTCAACATTTTGGCAACCTATTAATGTAAAAACTCCTTTACAATGTTAGTGGATAAAGTCAAACTCATTTCTAATTTTTTTAATGTTTGCCTGTGTGTTCAACAACTCCCTATGGTCGTTTGGCACGAAGGCAAGATATATATACATGAATTATAATGCAAAGATTATTTAAGTAAGAATTAGTAATACAAAGAATTTTTTTTGCTGGGTGTTTGGTTTATTGTACTAAAATTAGATATATAAGATATTATTTAAAATATTAATTTATTTTTCAAGCAATGAGATGCTTGACTTTCATTAGCTTCTAGGAAACAAACATGGATAATTTTGATCCTTTTTGTTCTTTCTCCATGTATAAGTTATACATGGATTAGTTATTCTACAATGTTTGTGGTATAAAATAATACACCAATTGGTGTATTAAGTTATGCGAAGAATAGTTATACATGATTCAAAATCTAAATCAAACATTGGATAAATTATATACCATGATTATTTTCCTTATACATCACAAATGACCCCTTATTGTCCTTATGTCATACTAGTGCTTACCATTTTAGAATATCGGAGCTTAATTTGATGCATTATTGCTCAGCCAATCTATGGAGGGTAGCTGATGAAAGAAACTTACAAGAAGTAAGAAACACCATAGAAGTAATATGCTATAATTTCTAACACCATATTCAGCTAACAAAGTTAAATGGCAATGATACGTAATTTGAGTCAAAAATAATAAATTCAGTTTAACTCGCCCTAAATAAGGAGTTGAGAGTTGAATTGACAAGCAGAGTACAAGTCCAACTTCCAAAGAATGCTTGCACAGCTTTCACCGGCCAACTTAACGAAAGAAAAATAAGAGACTATTGAAACCTCACTTTCTCTTCTCATTAACATTTAGCATTCTCTGCTCAGGATCTCCCTCGTTTCTCGTACATTTTACAGTGTATTTACAGTTTGCTGTAACCTTTCACATCCAGAAGTTCAGATTAATCAATACAGAAAGTCCAATAATTGTGTCGTCTTTTGTTTTCCGTTGGTGAAACGTAACCAGAGCAGAAAGGCCTAATAGAAATAAAGGGAAAAGGGAAATACTTTTTCTTTTTCTTTTGGTTGGACACAAGGAAAAATAAGAATGAGTGGCTGTTTGGTCAATTGTTATAACCTCTTTGGATTTAGACAGCAGACTAAAAGTTGCATATTAATAGGAAACTTGTAAAGACAAATGAATAGAAAATGAACAGCCAATATCATAGTGATAAGATTACCAACAAAGAAAGAAAGAATGAAAACATTACATATGAATCTTTTTTGCACTGAATTCCGAGGTGAAGTTTTATTTAGAAATTCGACGAGTAAAATGAGATCCTAGGATGAGAGACCAGCCTTGATCTTCTGAACAGTAACAACATCAGTCTTGAATAACTTCGCGAGAATCTGATCATCGACAGTAGTAGCAAACCATGTTGTAGGAAGTTAAACAGTTCCAGCATTTGCGCTACCAATTGCAGAAACAGCTATAGCTGATTTATTCCAATCACAATTGTATTGATAATGTACTAGTCCTTTTGGAAACAGAAACAAGTCTCCGAATTGTAAAGTCCGAGTGTAGACCTTGTTAGTACTGTCCCTCAAACCAACCTGAAGATTCCTTTGCACCATGAATAAGAGCTCGGCTGCACGAGGGTGGGTGTGGGGCGGGTTGACACCCGTACCAGAGAACTGAAGGACAGCAAGTAAAGCTGGAAATTTTGCCTTGTTAGCTTTTGTCACTTTGAAGTTTGTGATAATGCTGCCAAAACTTCCGTGCATGCCAGTGAAGGTGAAGAAATTCCCATCCATTGTCTCTCCAGTCTGATCTTTAGGAACAATGAAGTCGGTCAAGATATATGGATCGCCTGCTTGAGCCATCCAAGAACTAGTAAGAATAGCAACAACAAAGACGACTACAATTTTAGTGAGGCACGAGGCCATTTTTTCTCTTCTAAGGAGAGTATGAGATGAAGCTAATTGGACTTGGAAACGTTTTGGGAAATCTACACTGTATAGCTGCCGGGAAATGTATATTTTTTGTATATTAATATTTCATATACATATTTTATATAGAATTAGTGCATATCTTTTTCATATTTGGCCAGCCGTTGTAATTATTCTCAACTGATCGGCCAAAGCTTGATCCTTATTTATTCTCTTTGCTACATATGGCAGAACCTAAAATAAAGTTTACAACATGAGTTAACTTGCTGAAGCAGTCTGTAAAAGTTGGTAGAGATTAGAAATAAACACTTTTATCAGTTTCCCCCCTACAACTAAAGGGTTAATCTTGTTTCTCTTCCGAGTCAAAAGCCAAATGCCCCCAAACTAGAAAAGGAATGAGATGCATTATCTAGTTCAACTTCAATTTACTTTATTTCAACTAAAGGATTGGTTCTATTTTGATTAATTATCTTAACAATCCACCGGCAACAATATTACATTTATTTGTGCGATGAAATGAACCTTGAGCCTAACTCGTCAAATTGATAAGTACAGATGTCAAACCATACCTTGGTTAAGCTTGACCATAGTCCAAACCTCTGAATATTCAAAACAAAAACTGATGTTTTAACTATTGTGCTATACTGATAAAATCTTAGTCTGTGCTATCAAATACAGTCGCATCAACTTGAAATCAATTTGATATAACACGTGCTTAAATAACGGAAGCAGACAATGAAAATCTTATCCAATCTTATCAATTTGGCTACCTTACTGAGAAAGTGAGGTTGCCTTTATCTGGACCTTTTATCTTTTGCATATATCTGACCAGTTGTATTAGAACCTTTGCTTCTTCTTTGCAGTGCATCCAGTTACCAGGGAAAGGATATCGCAGGCAAGTTAATAAGAGGGCAGAACTTCAGTCAGCATACAAGATGAGGTGATCGTCAATCAATTTAAATGCTGATTAAAGCAATCCTGAGTATGTACTCGCCTTTAGTAAAGTTTGTGTCACAAAGAAGATGATATTGTAAATGCACAAACAGGACATGATCTATTCCTTTAATTTTAGGCCAAACGGTCAATGCTCAACATAAGACTTAATATTCGCACAGCTTTTTTTATTTCTCAAACTGAGAAACAGACCTTTAATGTGAAACTTCAACTGCAGCCAGAATGTTTTCTTTATATTTGAGATGGTTATCCAAACATACCATACTTGATGCTGATATTTACCTTCTGTAGGGAACTGTCAAATTCACACAAAACTGCTTTAGTTTTAAATCAGCATTGAAATTTGATATCTTGAAAACAAATAGAAACTCATCCACACTCCACATCAGAGAGCTACATCATGTTGAAATGAAAAATCCATGTGACTATTGGCGATTGGAAAGGAAACTTGGTATGAGAAATTTTTAATCATAGAATCGTCAAACAAAATGTTATTCCGTGTAAGATCTTCCGTGTGATGTTAACTGATCTCTAAAAATAAGTGTCAAATGATATATCTAAATTTTCTTTGCAAATGAACTTGTGTTTAATCAAGAGGAATGAAACATGACATTTTGAATCAAAAAGAATTCCAAGCTTAGGAGAACCAACTTTCATTTTTTTCTTTGCAATTGAAAGTTGGATAGGTGTCTCCAAATTGAATTCAGGAATCAGGGCATTTTGAAATTTTCAGGTAAATTCCCAATCAACTTGGAGAAACTTTCAATTTAAAGAGAACAAAAACTTACTGATCGATTTGACAGACTTCTAGCAACATATTTCCCGTTCGGTCAAACAATACTTTGTGATTTGTCATGATAGTTTGGAAGAAAACCTGAAAGTAGTGCAATCAAGTGAAATTTTTTAAGCTGAAGAACTTGGTAGAGAAAATGAATGTTAATGCAGCAAAACTTTACTTAGCGCAAATCAAGGCTGAACTGTATAATACACAAAACTAGTGTCTCCTCGGCTATAACAAAATGGACCTATTTGATAGTTGATAGCACTAGATGATTTAATTGATAACAGAAATGACTAGTTCTTTTAACTGATCTATTGGAAGAAACTACCGTACAAAATTTTGCACAATATTTTCTAAGAGTGATGAAAGAGAAGTAGTAATTTTCTTCACTTACACTTTGCTGACAGACCACATTCAAGGTAATTGTCCATTCGATAGAGAATGTCAGCACAACTTTCCAGTCACCAATGGAGCTAAGAGCGGTAATAGCTTGCATATTGTTACCCAAATCCTGATAAAAATAATTGCTAAGTTGATATCCGATAATCATATTGGGAAGCAAGCTTTTCTATTTTTTATAGATAGGAGACAAACTTTGTGTCGCGTATACCTTTGAATTCTGTTAGAACTTCGCATTCAATAGTGGACATGTGCATTACTCTAAACCACCTCCTCCTTGCTCAACTCACTGAAAAGGGGAAAGAACAAGAATACATGAATTTCTATTGAGATGAAAGTTTAAGCAATACATGAACTAAAATTAATCAAGTAAGACAAGAATGAGGTATATGACAAGAATACATGAATTGCAATTATCTGTGCAGGGTAAAAGATGACTAGTTTATCAATATGACATTTTGCTAACTACTTTCTAGAGCAAATTATTAAATCCTATTTATAATAAGTTTTTGTCATAATGTATAAAGATTTGTGCAGTTGCAACATATAAGTAACTCTTTTGACAGCTAACCTCAAATTTCATTTGGAGCAAAGACGCTTCCTTGGCTTCAGAGTGCAAATAGACGCTACATACTGCTTAACAAGATATAACGAATAAAAGGAATTAACACGCAAGCAAAGGTAAGTAGTAAAAACTTGAAAAATAACTACAGAAAGAGAGAGAGAAATTAGCATCACATGAATGCTGAAAAGGGACACTTGTTTTTGCTATCAGTTAGGCAAAATTACTCTTACATTAATGAAAAAAACAATCTAGCTGAGACAATATCTGAAGCGGTATTGCTGTCGACTCCTGACAATGCAAGTTTATCTATTTCCTAAAACTTTCGGATGATTATACACACACACACACACACTGAAATATAATTTCTATATGGAGCTTTAGCATAGAGCTCTGTGTTTAATGAAGAGCAAAACATAATTCATGTCATTGGAAGCAAATTGAATATCTATAATAGTGGGGAGCTACATCATTCTGACATACCATTCTTCTTAATCAAGACAAGAATATCATGTTGCTCATGGTCGGGTTTAACTGGAAAATAGTACAAATACTTATTGATTCATTAGAGAGACTCCTAGCAAACTGGTTTTCATTTGTCAAACATTGCATTTGCGATCTGTTAAGATATGTTGGAAAGTAAACCTGGAAGTGGTGCAATCAAGTGAAAATCTTTAAGAAGAAGATTTTGTTAAAACAAATAAACCGTAAGAGAGTGAAGCCTTAAACTACTATATCAAATCTATGAAGATTAATCCACAGTAGAGAAAGAATTACTCGAAGCAAATCAAGTTTCATAAAACGTATAGCTTAGTGTCAATCTGAGCTATACACAAAACAATGGATGTAAAACGTTTTGACAGTTAAGAGCAGTGGATGACTTAAGAGAAATGACTAGCCCTTTTCACTGACTGATTAAACAGAACTAATGCCGGCAAATTACACACAAAAGAGAAGTATGATTCTTCACTTACATTCTGATGACAGATCACAGTTGAGGTCATTGCCTATTCAATAGAGAATTTCAGCACAACTTTCCTTTCACCAACTGAGTAAGGAGTTGTAATAGCTTAAATATTTTCAAGAAATGACTCGTATTGGCAATAGACTCTTCACACTGCTCAACAAGATTTCTAACAAAGGAAAAGAATTAACAGAAAAGCAAAGAGAAGTAACTAAAAATAAAAAGCTACTTGAAAAGAAAAAAAGAAAAAGAATAACTTACATCTGTTAGAACACCTTCGTTTTAATCATCACAGGTATTCCCAATCGACTCTTATGGTGGGAATATGAGCAATATTTGGCCAGTAATCCCCCTTCTCAAATTCTAGGAGTGGTTCGAGCAATGGGCAGTCGAAAATAGATAATACAGAGATGGAAGAGGGCATCCCTTTTACCGGAAGAGATTGGAGTTTAGGGCAATTTAAGATATCCAGCTTAGAGAGGGAGGAGGGCAGCGCTGATTCGGTCCGTAGTGAATGGAGCTCATCATGGCCATATAATATAAGCTCNCCATTTATGAAATTGAAAAAAAAGATAAACATTTTTAGTACAACCAATCAGCCATCGACACTTATGGGGGCGGGGGTATGATAGTGCTTTACTAGATTTGCGCCAGCTTCCCCCACCGAGTGGTCGGGTCGGGTCGGGTCGGGTGACCCAATTGATACTTGGGGCGGTGGGGATTCCTAGACTTGGTATAAAAAGGGAGTAAAGCTTTCTTCCCTTTTATTCTAGGAGATGTCAGTAGTTTTAGCTCATTCAAAAATGCTCTCAAACATTCTAAGAACTTCTGAACGATTTACGACTAAAATCCAAAGTAAACCTGATGAGAATTCAAGAAAAAGGGCTCGTAATCATCTCTATACCATATGTATTCTTGTGATACTGATTTTAAAGATTTATTTGAAAGTAAAGATAATCACTATAGAGGTGAAGAACTCAGAAGTGAAGGTAATTCTTTGAAAAGGTATGTGAGGCATTCTTCCTTCTTGGCATGGCTTGATATAAACGTATTTTCCTATTTGATCCATATGGTGCAAGCTCAAATTGGGTTAAATCCTTCTTGAAAAAAATTTCATGTGTGTTCTCTACTGGTAACATTTCTTGCCCAGCTTAAGATATCTCCGGATAACATCATAAGGTTGTGAAATGTCGTTCATTCTGGGTCAAACTGTGATGTCTCTTATAATTGACTTTGCATTTTACTTTCATATCTATGTATTTATTTTAACTAACCAAGCTCCCAACGGGACCGGGTATGGAACAATGCGTTAAATATTATAACCGATTCCCCGATAGGACCGGGTATAAAATGATGAGTTAGCCGGTAACACCGAGCCCTAAGGAGGCCGGGTACGAATAATGTGTTAAGGTGATGTTACTGAGACCTCCTGAGGCTGGGTACGATGTGATAGAGACACGAGAATCTACTGACCTCTCTTTGAGGTCGGGTATGGTATACGAAGTGATATACCCCAAAGAGAGGTTGAATATCACCTTACGAGATGAGACGTCCCCGAATAGTGACTTTATTATCTTTTATAAAATTTGCATGCATTTATGATTCGAGGTTACCACAGTGTATGTCCTCGGTGACTTGTCTTCGGTACTCAGGTTGAAGTTGTATACTCATATCTTCTATGTTATGTCTTTGGTTTGCAAGTATATTATCCGCTTTACATACTCAATACACCTTTCGTACTGATGCCTCTTTCTTTTGGGGCGTTGTGTTCATGCCCATAGGTACAGGTAGACCCAGTGACATTCCTCCATAGTAGGGTGCTCATTTCAGCGGTTTGTTGTCGTACTCCATTTCTTCGGAGTAGATGTACGGGAGTTGATAAGTATTATAGTGTGTCTTCCTCTTGTTTTGGGTATGGTGGGGCTCTGTCCCAACCAAGTTGTATATAAAAGTACTCTTAGAGGCTTGCAGACTAGTATCCGGTTTGTATATGAGTATGGTTGGTTGTCGTACTCCAAGTTGTATATATATATATATATTCAGAATTAAGGCTTTTTCCATAGTTAATTATGAACCTTTATTAATGTTCGGGTGTCGCACATGGAAGCATGGTTGTCCCAAAATTCGTGATGAAAAATGTAAGTATGAACATAGGTTCGCACGGACCTTTGGGCGTCGTGTTCTAGTCCTAAAACATAGGTTCGCACGGGCCTTCGGGCGTCGTGTTCCAGTCCCACCTCCCGAGGTTGGGGTGTGACACGACCGATAGCTATTGTTGTAGGCGAACTCCGCTTGAGGTAAAAACTAATCCCACTGACCCCCAAAATCCATAGAGCATGCCCCGAACATATCCTCCAATATTTGAATATTGCACTCAGACTGTCAGTCTATTCAGGATGAAACGTGATACTCAGCGCAACCCGCGTGCCCAACTCACGCTGTACGAGTTTCCAAAAATGTGATGTGAACTGCGTGCCCCGGTCAGAAATAATGGAAATGGGCACATCGTGCAGGCAGATAATCTCCCAGATGTAAATCTGAGCCAACCGCTCTGAAGAATAGGAAGTCATCACCGAAATAAAGTGTGCAAACTTAGTCAACTGGTCCACAATAACCTAGACTGTGTTATACTTCCTCAAGGTCTATGGTAAGTCTACCACAAAATCCATAGTGATGCGCTTCTACTTTCACTCCCGTATCTCCAATCTCTGTATCAATCCACCTAGTTTCTGATGCCCATACTTCACATGTTGACAATTCAATCACCGAGAGACATAATCAACAATATCTTTCTTCATCCTCCACCACCAATAGTGATGTTTCAAGTCATAGTACATCTTCGTGACACCTGGGTGGATAGAATAGCGTGAATTGTGAGCCTTCTCAAGCACCATCATATCCAATCACAACCTCCTTAGCATCACCTCGCTGCACCATGTCTTTCAACACCAACAAGTGAGTATCATCAAATTGGTGAGCCTTGATATGCTCCAACAACGATGACCATGTCACAATACAAGCAAGAAATCGGCTAGGCTCTGAAACATCCAACCTTATGAAATGATTAGCCAAAGCCTGAACATCAATGGCTAGTAGCCTCTCCACTACCGATAAATATGTCAAACTGCCCATGTTCTGTGCCTTCCTACTCAATGCATTGGCCACTACTTGAACAGGTGCTTGAGACTTCGATGGTCGGTATAGACCCTACATGGAACGTCGTACAGATAGTGCCTCCAAATCTTCAGTGCGTGAACAATGGTTGCTAACTCTAAATCATGCACAAGGTAATTCTTCTCATGAACCTTCAACCTATCGAGATGCGTAGGCAATCACCCTACTGTCATGCATCAATATCGCGCCAAGCCCAATACGCGATGCATCATAATACATAGTGTAAGATCACAAACCTGTAGGTAACACCAATACTGGGGATGTAGTAAATACAGTTTGAGCTTCTGAAAGCTCACCTAACAATCATTAGAACATCCGAAAAGAGCACCCTTATCGGTCAACTTGGTCAATGGGGCTGAGATAGATGAAAATCCCTCGACGAACCGGCGATAATACCCCGCCAAACATAGGAAGCTCTAAATCTCTATAGCAAAAGTAGGTCTAGGACAATTCTGAACTACCTAAATCTTTTTATGATCCACAATGATGCCCTCGAAAGATACAACATGCCCCAAAAAGGCAACCGAGTCTAACCAGAACTCGCACTTCGAACACTTGGCATATAACTGACGATCCTTCAGAGTCTGAACTACGATTCGTAGGTGCTGCTCATGCTCTTCTTGATTGCGAAGTAAACCAAAATATCATCAATGAAGATGATCACGAAGGAATCCAGATATGGCTTGATAACCGAGTTCATCAAATCCATAAAAGTTGTTGGGGCATTAGTCAAGCCAAATGACATCACCAAGAACTCGCAGTGACCATGCCCTGATATTCACCTGATGGTAGCCTGACCTCAAATCAATTTTGGAAAACAACTTGGCCCCGTGAAGCTGGTCAAATAAAGCATCAGTCCTCGACAACCAATATTTATTATTGATAGTGACCTTGTTCAATTGCCGCTAATCTATGCACATCCTTATCAATCTGTCATTCTTCTTCACAAACAACACCGTTTCACCCCCAAGACGAAACACTAGGTCTAATGAATCCCTTGTCAAGCAAATCCTGCAACTATTCCTTCAATTTTATCAACACAACTGGGGCCATATGGTATGGTGAAATAGAAATGGGCTGAGTGCCCAGAACCAAGTCAATGCAAAAGTAGATATCTCTTCGGGTGGCATACCTGGTAAGTCTGTAGGAAACACCTCTGGAAACTTTCTCACCAGCAAAATCAAATCCATAGAAGGCACCTCGACACTAGAATCCTGAATATAAGCCAAATACGCCAGACACCCCTTCTCGACCATATGTAGAGCATTCACATATGAAATGACTCTGCTAGTGGAGTGACCAGGAGTCCCTCTCCACTCCAATCGAGAAAACCCCGACATAGATAATGTCACAGTCTTGGCGTGACAATCCAAGATAGTGTGATAGGGTGACAGCCAATCCATGCCCAGAATCACATCAAAATCTACCATATCAAGTAATAGAAGGTCAACTCTAGTCTCATAGCTTCCAATAGCGACCAAACAACAGTGATAGACTTGGTCCACCAGAATAGGATCCCCAGCGGGCATAGACACAAAAACATGAGCACTAAAAGAATCACGAGACATATCCAAATATAAAGTAAAATAGGATGACACATACGAATAAGTGGAACCCGGATCAAATAAAACTGATGCATCTCTATGGCAAACCAGAACAATACCTATAATGAGTGTATTAGACGACTCCGCCTCAAGTCTAGCTAGAAATGTATAGCAACGGAGCTGAGCCCCACCAATATGACCTCCACCTCTCAGACGGCCTCCCTGGCTGGCCTCCACCCCTAATAGCCTGACCACCGCCCAGGGCTGCCTGACCCCTTCCTCTAGCTGGCTGAGTGGACGGTAGGACAATTGGTGCTAGAATCATGGCACTAGTACCCTGCTGTGGCATACTACTCTGAAGACTAGGACAATACCTCCTGATAAGATCCATACCTCCACACTCAAAGCACTCTCTCTACTGACGTGGCTGCTAAATCTGAGACTGAACATGACGGTCTGGATAACCACTGTGATAGCTTTAAAATGGTGGTGCACCGATGGGGGTTGAAGGTGCATTGTAGGCTAGATGCTCAGGACAAGACCCATAAGAACCACGACTGCCCGAAGCACCATGTGATACCTGAAGCACTGACTGAACCAGCCTGATAGGATGGCCTCTACCAAATGAACCCCTGCCTCTAGATGAGGCACCACCAAAATCACAGAAATGACGAGGCCTCTTCTCAGATGCCGCCTATCTACCCTGACGACGAATCCTTTCGATTCGCCTAGCGATCTCCATAACTCGAGTGAAAGAAATATCATCCTCAGTCTCTCTGGTCATTTGTATCCTGATGTCATAAGTAAGTTCATCTATAAATCT